AGAGAAGTGGGGATGACACGCCTCCTTGGGGTGTACCCCTTCGGATAGATCTGTGCATCGTTGAAACTCCCAGCGTTGAAATAATTGACCTGCCCAAGAGCATCTGTTCAATTAATTTCCGGAGAAGCTCATATATGCCCAGATCTTTAAGCGCGCTCAATATGGCCTTCGGCTTGATGTTGTTGAAGGCACCTTCTATGTCTAGGAAGGCTACGAGGGTGTATTCTTTTATTTCCAGAGACTTTTCAATCTCTGCTACCACTGAGCTTAATGCCGTTTCTGTGGATCTACCCTTCAAATACGCATGCTGCGAAATTGCCATTTTTCTTGGGTTTAGTATGTCCTTTATATGTATTTCTATTAGTCTCTGCAGTGTTTTTAAAAGAAATGATGAAAGGCTAATTGGTCTAAAATCCTTTGGATTAATGTGTGAGCTTTTGCCAGCCTTTGGTATATATATCACCTTAACTTCCCTCCATATCGAGGGAATATAGTTTAATTTCAGTGCCCCTCTAAACATGGTTGTTAACCAGTTTATTGTGTATACTTATCTATTATACTTATCTAACTTTTACTTTTAACGAAGAGTCAAAGCTGTTTAAAGACCGCCGATTAACAATACGAGTAGATGGGAAGTAATTTACAATTATATTTTCATACTCAAATTATGCAACAAATTATAAGTATATTGCAGTTAGTTAATGGTTTACTATTAATAAGTACTTAAGTGCTTACATATGTATTTATGTATGAAGTACGTGTGTTTGTTTACTCTGTCATTTAAAATCGGAAATATTATTATTTATGATAAAACAGATGGTCGACATTCCTTCTGAACAATATAAGAATAAGTTCTGACTTTTCAGAGGAAACTACTGCTCAATACAGTTAAATAGTAATTTTCGCTTTCAAGTCTACATCTTATGAATCATTTTATAGAATGTAAGGATGAACACTCAGAACGAAAGAAATTGCACTATTGGTTGGAGTTTCATTAAAGTCGGCTAAAATCAGTTATTCAGGCGAAGGAATAAGGAAAATAGGAAAAAAATATCATATTGTAATGAAAAGAAAAGGACGTTGCACAGTTTGGGAATGCATTCCTCACCTTTTAATCTAAGCTTTTCTCCACCAAACAGTACATATACTTCATAATTGGCGCGATGGGACTAGATGAAATGTTTGGAAAGTGTTTCAAACAAATTTAAGCCACATATATAAATAGCAAGCCTTGGCGTCATGAGTTTATGAGAAAGATTATAATTGGAGAAGAAATTTGTTTTTAAAACCCTAAAATGTACCTTAAGCCAAAACCAAAATTTTTTTAAGAGGTCCCAGACTGGCCGAAACCCTGGGAGACTATATAATATCAGTATTGAAAATTAATTCCATATCTTATTTTAAGTCAATTCTTTGGCGCTGCAGGGTATTAATTTCAATAGTATCACATAGTTTGGAAGATAATTTTAATTCAGTTTAATTTCCAAACTTTTTTATATTTTAAAAATTTGTCCAGTTTATGTAAGTAATGTATTGTGAAGTATTTGCCTGCATATGTTAAGTATTATTATAGAACATGAAAATATGTGCAACAATTGCAAGATACTACCATGGCGTATGCGCAACTACATCCAAAGTAGTAAATTCTCTTAAATACTTGTTGTAGTACTATATCTACGAAATTGTATACCACATTTCAAAACATACTTTCATATGTGTGTCATATACATAACTGATTGTACAACATAAATTCATAACAGAAAGTTTCTGCTTGTGAAGCATTTAAAAGCACTACCAGTTTGGCCGCCCAGCTTCCACGGAGACATTTGTTCTGTGTTCTGGTCCAACAATTGGTACTAACACATACACAAAATGGCGTTTAAATTCCTTTACGCAGCTGTGGTATTTTCTATTATTTTCCAACGCACATACACACACCTACACGTCATACATATGTATATCACCTAAATGTGCCTAAATGTATGCCTCATATGTTAGCACAAATGCACAGGTATTAAAGCTTGTATACTTGTTTGCTTGTGCATAAATGTGCCCGCATTCCTTCAATTGAACGTATACCAAAGTACATATGTATATGTGCATATATATACATTATGGTGGAAAAAAATATTTTATGGAGATCTTGATTTAGGTTTTAATCGGTCAGTATGTATGGCAGCTGTATCCTATAGTGGTCCGATCTAAACAGTATTGTCGGAAATTGTAGCGTTGCCCTGGACAATAATCTATGCCAACTTTCAGGAAAATTATCTCTCCAATTAAAATGTTTTCCATACAAGAACTTGATTTTAGTTGATCAGTTTGTATAACAGATATATGCTATAGCATTCCGATATCGGCGATTCCGGCAAATGAGTAGCTTCTTGGGGAGAAAAGGACGTGTGCAAAATTTCATATCGATATCTCAAAAACTGAGGGACTAATTCGCTTATATACAGACAGACAGACGGTCATGGCTTTATCGTACTGATCATCTATACTAATATTATAAATGCGAAAGTCCGTTTGTTTGTTAAGCTTTCACGCAAAAACTACTTAACAGATCATCATGAAATTTTGTACATATATTCTTAGAGGTGTCAGAATGAACATAGGATACTTTTTATTACAAAATTTGTAAATTTTTTACGGATTATTAAAAAAATTATTTTGGAAGATTATATATGTTTGGAAAATAAATTTGAAAATTTTGAAATTGAAAAAAAAAAGTTTGGCAGAAATGATTGTTTGTCGAAAAAATTAAAAATGAAAGAAAACATAAATGTATAAAAAACCTAAATCAAAGAAATAACACAAATATTATTAGTTACTCTTATTAAATATAAAAATGCCTCGAAAGCGGAAATCGGCGCTGTCAAGAAATTCTACGCCGGTGCGTAAGGCTAAAGTTACACGAAATAAAGAATGTGAAGTTCAAGCAGAGCTGAGAAGGCAACAGCAAGCAGATCGACAACGTGTTTTGAGAGCAGCTGAAACTTCTCATCAGGCACGAGTACGTTCGAAAAGACAAGCTTAGCAGCAGGAAGCTAGAAGAGCAACGGAAACGCAAGAACAATTGCTGGCAAGAAGAATTAATGATGCAGAAGTAAGAACCACGCGTCGTCGTAATTTCATAGCTAAGAATTGGAATATATATAAAATATATTCTTTATATGGATCCATATCTACTATAATGATATTAGTTATTTATTTGATGGATTCGATGCGAGCGAAGCCGCGGGTAAAAGCTAGTTTATATATATAAGTTTACTTTATTGGGTCCGCGACGTTCCCTTCTGGGAGTTACTAACTTCGTTCTTGTTAAAAAAAAATCCCTACCAAACATGCCTCCTATTGCTCTACTCTAAGGGATCGCTATTTTTATTTTATTAAAAAAATTTTTTGCAGCATCCTAATATACCATACATATACTTATGTATATATACGCGAGTATTTCACATGATTGTGAACATGCGTTTTCATACATTTCATATTTGTTTGCTCGCTTTTGTCTTATTGTTCTGCGCTGAAACTTCGCCAGCATTCATTTCTGCGCTCGGAATTTCTATTTTGTTAATCGTCAGTCAAGCAAGAAGAGCGAGAAGCAAAGAAAAAGAAATATGCTTTTAATGTGCTGGCTGACTGACTTGCTACCATTATGCTTGAATAGTCTGCCTATTTTATACGGCTGTCCTCTTTGCATCTTGGTATACTTGACTTTTTTCCTTATGGTAGTTCTTGTCTCCTGCAGACTATGCTTTGTTGGTGGCACAGAATATTTTTTGTTCATGCAGCACAAATGCTGGGGATTATTCGTATGAAAAAAGTAAACATAGTTGGACTACATATAAATATGGACAGGCAGATGTATACTGTAAAAGTGTGTAAATCTTTCGGAGAATACCATGTTACAGGTATCTAGTGACGATCTTATATGATATACTTATGTACTTGTATATAGTAAAGGGTCTACCAACAAGAACGACGAGATGTTAAAATGAAATAAAACACTTAAATTTGGTCAAAATGGGTTCTGTTTTTTGTTATAAAGATAATTTTATGGCATTTATGATTTGAAAAAATTGTCGGCCAAATGGCCACCACGGTTTCGTTTGAATATCTCCACCCGTTTGCGGCAATTTTCGATGACCCGGTGCAGCATTTCGGCTGGATTTTCGGCTATAATGCACTGAAGGTTATCTTTGAGCTCCTCGGACATTGCTGGTTGATTGGCGTAAACGTTTGATTTAACATACCCTCATAGAAAATGATTTAGAGGCGATAAATCGTATTTTCGTGGCGGCCATTTTACTGGATCATTTCTCAAAATAAACGACTATCCAAACTTTGCACGCATCGTGTCCATGTTTAGACGTAAAACATGAGGCGGTGCACCGCCTTTTTAGAAATAGAGATCGTTCACGTCGATTTCATCAAACTCCGGAAAAAAAGTAGGTCAACATCATGTTATAAAGCTCGCTATTGATGGTAACGGCATTTTATGCCTCATTTCAGAAGAAATAAGGCCCGATTATACCGCCTTACCACAATTTCAAACGGTACATTTTTGAGGATGCATTTGCGTTTTCTCAACCACACGAGGTCTTGACTTATCCCAATAGCGACAATTTCGTATGTTGACGAAGCCATTAAGCCAGAAATGGGTCTCATCGGAGAAGATGATTTTTCGATGAAAAAAATCAGTATTTTTCTTTTCTTCAATATTCGAAAAATCACTGGATTATATATTGTCAACGCTCATACTCCCACATATCATATTCTGGATTAGGTATTATGAAGATCTTATTTCTTCTTCTCAGATCTGGAAGAACGCGGACTAAACCAACGGTTATGATTTTTAGATATTTCGGCTCATAACTTTTTTTAAACATACGCTGGCCCCTAGACGGTGGATATCACAATTGGCATGTTTTTGACTTATGTTTTGTGGTATCAGAAACTTCCAAATTTGTATCTAAACCGTCATAAATAAATCAGACTTTAATTAATTAAAATTTTATTTTGGAAATTTTCCGTACAATATCTAATAACAATATTTTTAAAGTAAACTTACAAATATTTACTTGTATAACAAGTTATAATAATTATGATTAAAATATAAAACAATTATTTTCAAAAATATTACTTCTACCAATTTTCTGTTTAGCATTCTTCACGTAAATTCATAAAAGTCTTTAATAGCTGCCCTACATTTATATATGTATCATGCCGACTACTCTTACAGCCTTCCATTGCATTCTTACTTATTTTACGGTATCGCCATTGCTGGTTCGCTCTAAAATTCAATCGTCACACATTTTGTCTTTAAATACTCATTTAGCGCCTCTTGCCCCAAATCCTTGCCAAAACCACTTTGTTTGAAACCACCAAATGGCGCCGCCACATCAGTCTTGTTGTAAACATTCACAAACACCGTACCCGCCTCAATACGTTCGGCAAAAGATAGAGCTTTGCTGATGTCCTTCGTAAAAACGCCACTGGCTAAACCGTATTCACTACGATTAGCACGCTTCATCACTGAGTCCACATCGCTGCCATTGAACTTGGAAATAATCATAATGGGACCGAAAGATTCTTCCTTGGCAATGAACATTTCATCCTCGACATTAGTGAAAACTGTCGGCTCGAAGAAGTAACCCTTGGTATTAGGTACAGCTTTACCACCATATATCAAGGTGGCGCCTTCCTTAACACCACGTCGACAGAACTCAATCAATTTGTCAAAGTGCGCCTTATGGTTTTGTGGGCCATGCGCTGTGGAACGATTTAGAGGATCACCAATGGTCATTGTCCGGATATCTTTAACAACACGGCGTACAAACTCGTCGTGAATGCGATCTTCAACGAAGAGACGACCGGCAGCAATACAGTTTTCACCCTTATTGAAGAAGACCGATGACATACCCTATTAATGAAATGATATAATATATTTTTTAACTGCTTGGGCCAAATTTCTGAGTGTTAGAAAAGTCTACTTACATGCTTAATGGCTTTGTCCAAATCACAGTCAGCGAATATAACCAATGGGCTCTTGCCACCCAACTCCAATGAACACTTCTTGAGATTGGAGTCAGCGCAAGACTTCATGATCACCTTTCCGATGGGTGTTGAGCCAGTGAAACCCAATTTACGTATCAAAGGATGATCGGCAACGGCTTGACCTGCGCCGGAACCTTGACCGGGAACTACATTAATAACACCAGGTGGGAAACCAGCTTTTACAGTAAGTTCAGCAAATTTAAGCGCTGTCAATGGACATGTTTGTGCTGGCTTGATCAGACAGGTATTGCCGGCGGCAATACATGCGGCCATTTTCCAAGACAACATCATGAGTGGATAATTCCATGGCGTTACCAAACCGGTCACACTGCAATCATATTAAATGCTTAGCAACTTTTGAGATGAAGATGCTTGCGGTAAGGACTTACCCAATTGGTTCGCGCTTTGTATATGTCAACACATTATTGGGCCTAGCTGGGTTCACTGGTATGGTGCTACCTTGTATTTTGTCACACCAGCCAGCGAAGTAGCGCCATGCATCGATGGACATGCCGATGTGTGTTTTCAAAGCCAGCGTATATACTGCACCCGAGTCCACAGATTCAATTGTGGCCAAGTCCTCTTTGTATTGCTCCATTAGATCAGCAAGTTTCATCATAAGCTGGCCACGTTGACGTGCCGACACTTGCTTCCACGAACCGTAAAACGCATTATGAGCTGCTTGGACTGCCTTATCGACATCATTGCGCGATGCACAAGCGACCTTACAAATCAGTTCTTCATTGGTGGGATTTATAATATCCAAGGTGGCGTTGCGCTCAGCATTCAGAAATTCACCATTAATAAAAAGTTGTGTTGGCACGGGAATTTCACGTTTGTTAGCGCGCATAATATAACCTTCGAAAGGCACCTCAACTCCTGATGCAGAGCTGCCTTGACGTAAACTCTTTACGATTTCGACAAAAAATTCTTCAAAAACTGGTGCCATAAAGACATGTTCATTCTCTAAAGGCACATCGAAAGCATCCTTACACTCCTCTACGAGACGCACCACATCCATGGAACCAGCACCGGCTGCAAAAAAGTCAGTTTCTGCTTCAATTGGCGCCTTAAGTATGGAATTCCAAACACTGCGCAAAATCTCTTTCTTCAACAATTCATCTTCGCTGAACTCAGTGATCTGTGGTTGATCGCTTTGTTTGAACCAATCGGCAGCGTTAATCATCTTGGAACCCTTCTTGATGCGACGTACATTTACAAAGTTACCATCTGTACCCTGTATGAGTAAGCCATCTTGATGTATATAAGCAGGCGTCTTTAGACCTTTAAGTTTCAGTGAGCCCAACTGCTTAACTGGTCCAGCGGAGTATATATGCGCGCCGAACAAGCGTATCTTCTCCTCACTACCATTCAAATTCAATACAATCGCTAGAGCACCTGGCTGTGAGTCCAAGCCGCGCACGAAGTTAAATATATTTCTGGCAGGCTGATGCAAATCAACAAATTGATTCTCTTCTTTAAACATGGCTGGATCATAGGTGGCACCTATTTCGGTTTGTGTGATTTTTGGTGCCGTACCAGCAGTTACCATATCAACAGCCACACCCATCGACTTTACACCCTCGGGGTAGAGGAATCGCTTATAGATAGTATCCAGCGTATCGGTGGGTTCAACTGGCGCTTGCTTTTGCAATAAAATTGGACCAGTGTCGAGTCCATCATCAGCCCAGAAGATAGTGAAGCCAGCATCTGCATCACCTTCAATCAATGTCCACTGTATAGCACTAGCGCCACGATGACGTGGCAATATGGAAGGGTGATAACAAATGCTACCCAAATCGGCACCATCAATAACTTCCATTGGTATAAATTGTGAGCAGAAGGGTAGTACGTTGAGTGTAGCTTTTACAGATTTGTATTTCTGCAATACTTCCGGTAAGGCAACACCCTTTTTACGCCATGAAGCGAACTTGAAGACAGGAATGTTATGACCTGCTGCTGTAGTGGCTAAGATATCTTCACGGCTACCCTTATCAGGTATGGTAAAAACGCCCACAACATTGTACTTCTTCTCTAATATTAGCTCCAACACATCGGCGGCAAAATTGCTCTGCCCAATAATGGCAATACGTAGTGGTTGCTGGAAATAAAGAGAGAGAAGACGAAATAGGATTTAATTTTTATGAGGATTATGTGAGTAAAACTTACTAGTTGTTCAAAAAAAATTGGGATATTTAGGTAGCTGAAAAGTATAATTAACGAAAAATTATCGTAGACTCAATAGACGCTAGTAAAAGCGTATGTCTTCTAAATAATTACTAGAGAATCTCAATATTTTATTCAACTCGAAGAAAAAAAATACATCAAATCCCCAAAAATTTCACCAAGAATCGATATATTTAAAACAAACCAAAAAAATACGAAATAGTGGAAAATTTTTACCAATTTGTTATTATAAAAACCGATAATATTTGTTCATCAAGTAAAGATCTCAGATTGATATCATATTATAATCTATTCTTTCATAAAGTTCTCGAATATATCTTTGTGAATATTAATCGTATAAGTTGATTAAGAGAGAGAAAGAGTTTGTCTTTCTCTAACTTTCCACTTACTAAAATTTATCCGGAAATAGGTACTAAGGACTAATTTATAAAAGGAGAACAATATTTACGATAACCAGTGATTATTGCAAAAAGCTTTGTTTTAGGAGTTCTTGTTATTGTACCCCACAAAAATTTTACAATTTCGTGATATTCTGTATTCATGGTTTGGATAACCATGGAAGTCTACTGGAAATTAATTCAGATGAAATTAGGAAAATTTTTACCAGCGGAAATGGCATTATAAACGATATGTTCACCGTTTTATACCTATATCGGATCATTATATTTTCTTATATTTATAAAATATTATCGCGAAAAACAATATATATTACGCAATTTCTTGTGACACATATTCATATTTAGCCCAAAATTTCTAGAAATATCGATTTCATATAACACATGTTTGTAATATATTTAGCACAAAAGTTCTTAAGAAACACACCAAATAGTAGTCTTAAGTATCTATTGTAAGCAAATATTATCAAATATGTACATTTAAGTACTCTTATCTTGCACTTAAGTACAACGTGTTGTTGAAATGTGTTGTAATTTACTGTTTTCTGTCTTACATTATTAGGTATTAGTAATTGTTATTAGTGCAAAGTCAATCGTTGTCTGCAAAACTAATGGATTAAATAAAAGTTATCGAGAAAATTTCTTAGAAAATGCATCGAAAAGTTATAGATGCTAAAACGCTACAGTATCAATATTTAGACCTTAAAAATATAAAAAATTTTCTTGAATTATTATTTTAACTGATTGTTGGCATTATTTATAATACTGATAGTTCATAAGTGCTGCTCTAAAACTAAAATTCAACTGTAATTTTTGGTATCTTTTTGTTCCAAAAATTCAACATATTGTTATTCAGCTTATTTATGTTGTTTGAAGATCATATAAAGGACTTTAAATAGTTGACGTATATTTTCACTCCTTCTTTTTTAAGCGCAGAGTTTCTTACACAAAGTGGAGCAAAGTGGAAATCAGCTGATTTCTAAGTTGCCATAGAAACTACCTTCCGAACTAATAAAATATGTATGGTACTTGTTTTTATGTAAAAAAAACTTGACCTAGTTAAATTTAAAAAAAACTATTACAAAAAAAATACGTTTACGACTTTTATCAAATTGCTAACACATTTTTTGCTGCAAATTACAGCAAAATCCCTTAATTATATATGTCGAAATATAAAAAATATGCTTCTTTGAGATTATACATTTAATTTTTGCGGACATATTTTTCGTTTCTTTTGCTACGGGTAAAAATGTTATGGAAATTTATAAATAAAGTCTATCTATAATCTATTTTTTTTTGAAAATTTCTAAATTTTTGGGCTGCATATACGATCTATGAACAAAAATTAAATTAAATGTACAATAATTATTTAAAATAATTACCACTTAAAAACAATAAAAAAAATATACTCAAAAAAATATTTTTTTTTAAAACATTCTTCAAACTATAGAAAAATATTTAAATATTATTTAAATTAATTTTAAACTGTAAACTTGTAAAAATTTAATAAAATGAAAATTATTATTAAATTGTCGTGATGAATTCATAAATTAAAAAAGAAAATAATTATTATAAATGTATAAAGAAAGTTAATCAATTTATATTATGTATATTAAATTTTCTTTATAAATTACTTCACAAAATTATGATTAGAGCATAAAAGTTATTATTTTTTTACGATGTTATTTTTAAACAATGTTTTTAAAAAGTTTTTTGAAGTAAATGAAATAATATTTTATTAAACAATATAGACCTTTTTTACATCAAATAATATTGTGCAAAATTAAAAAATGAGCAAAGTTGAAATTTAATGCACTTTATATGTATTTTGCTAAACAAATCTGCCTAGATGTTATTTTTTGAATAGTTTATCCTCTTACAATTTTTATAAATATGATTTCAACAGACAATTTTACTATGAATTTCTTTGGTTTAATTTTTTTTGTGATGAAGTGTTTTAAAAAAATTGTTTATAATTTTTATACTATTTTTATAATAATGTTTTAAAACACTCTTATACAATTCTTTTTTTCAGTTCACACAAATATAATCTTAGCGGGAAAAATTAATTTTAAAATTATATATGTCATTTTTTCTTTTGAAAAACTAAATTTTTTGCTAACCAAAATTTGCTAGGTATTGATTTTTTTAAAAATCCTCTTATACTTTTTCTTCATCAAACAACGATGGTTTTAACAGAAAAAATTGGGCCTGAAAATTATTTTTTCCATTTATATTATTTTTATAATAATGTTTTATAATACTCGTATACAATTCTTTTTTTCAGTTCACACAAATATAATTTTTGCGATTTTTTTGAACAAATCTGCAGTTTAAAGTACTAAAAAGTTAATTAATTATTTTCAGCTTAGAACGGAATAAGACTTCAATGTTAAAAGAAAAAAAAAAACAAAATTAATGCAAATTTTTTAAATAAAAATGTAAAAAAAATTTTATTCATATTTATTTGCTTAAAATTTTAAAATTTTTTTCCTGTTGCATACAAGTATATCTTCATTTATATATAAAAAAAACTGCTTTTTCCATAGACAATATTACAAAAAACGCTACTTTCTCTCTTTTTTCATATTTTTGAGTTACAGTTAGTATAAAAATACAAATTGTAATACTAACAGCCATGACTTTCGTTGCACTGCTTTGCACTTGCACTTGCACTAGCACTGTTTGTAATTTCTTCCGTTTTTTTTTCTTTTCTTGGAAAATGCTTTCCTTTCACTCGCCGGTAGTTAACAACAAATAATAAATTCAGCTAAAGCGAAAAACTGCTGATCGCGAATTACTGTAAGCTACACTTCACTGCACCAGCAAGATAGTAACTATGTATGCATATATGTATGTTGGTATGCAAGTATGACTTATGCAATTTCTTTGTAAAATTAGCTGACTTGTGAATAAAACCAACAACGACGACTTGCTGCTATGAAAAACTAAACACTTTTGAATGATCAACGGCCGGGCAACTGATATTTATATACTCAAGTTGCGACCGGCAAAGCCATACAGACGTTTACTGGACAAATTCAAATTAAAAACAACAACATATAAACACGTACATTCCTAAGACAATGATTATAAACAAAATATTAAAAACAAAAATGTTACGTTTTAATAATACTTATCTTTATAAATATCATAAATATATATTGTACATACATACATATATGTATATAAATATAAATTCGCATGAGTATTGGTGTGAACTTTCGCAAGCGTATAAACACCGTTGGTATATAGGTATATAAGTGTCTCATAGTGATTAAAAGCACTTTCTTCGCTATTGTTGTTGTTACGCACGCAAATGCTCTTATCATCGATTTGTCAGAGCTTTAGGTTCACTTCTTATCAGCTAAATTAAATTGGAGCCCGAAAAACAAAATTGTTAGTTTATTTGTAGGTTTGTCTTGCTTTGTTTGTTTATTTTCATTTCTTTACAGGTTGATAACGTGCACACGCCCAACTTTTTATATGTTGCATAAGTTTGTGTGCATAATTAAAAACTTTCAAACGTAAGTAATAAACTAGAAAAATCCAGTTCGAATATTCTCAAGTGTCATTTTTTTCTGACATTTTAGCTGATTTTTGCTGATATCAACAAAATGTTCTATATTATTTCTATAGTATTGGCTTAAATAGGCATTCAGACCCAGCGACCAACTAACATCAAACAGTGTTTTTATTAGTAGTCAACCGTCTCGTGTTTTTTTTTTGCAATTAAGAAACTCTTCCGTTCGAAGTCGGTTTTAAATGTGTTGTTACTTAGACTTGAATATAGAAAAATTAATTAATTTTTCCCAAACTCTGTGCTTGAATGCACCACTCCAAGTGCGACGTAATCGACTTCGTGGGAATAGATTTCAGCTTCAGAACCTTGAAACCATTTTTTTTAGTTAATGTGTATAACCACATCTATATCTACCATAGATATAAGCTTTTTTGAATTGGTGATTGGAAAATCTGACAAAATGAGAGCGATTAAAAATATGAGCTTTTTGGCCATGGTTTTCAAACTAAAAAAAACTGTAAATAATCGAAAAATTTGCAAAACAGATATGTTTTGCTAATCAGTATTTAGATTTTTATTTTGAATAAATTGTATATGTAGTTTTGTCAAAGTCTTTTTTAGTTATGTTTACATGAGAAATATTCAAAATAAAATTGATTTTTTTAAACTGCGAAGGTATACTCCTCTCTCACCCTCTTTCTCTCTTTAACTAACTGTTGTAACACAGAACACTGACAAAACAGGCGAAAATCAAAACATGCTTAACAATACCTATACAAGCCACAGGTTTCTTACAGACGGATAGCATAAAACAAACTGCAATATTCCGAACATCTGAATTCAATTGTATATTTCTGTTCCTAATTATAATAACTATCTTCAATTTTCCAAAACTTATAGAACAGCGAAGCGAACAAATATCTGGTATAAATCACGTATGCTGCCATAATGAAGACTTGTTTTTTTTAATCATGTATACACAAGGATGGTTGCCCACTCCAAACCCCCCGGTAAATTCGCCATTGAAGGACTATCTACCGAAACAAGCAAAAAATATTTATTTTCAGAAATTTCACACTAGGTGTACCCCTTAAATTTTGAAAATAACTCAAGTCTAGTTATCACACTTGTGAAGTCAGTTCTGGTTCGTTTACAAGCAAACGCGTTTATATTAAAATGCAAAAATAAAGATCTGGTTTCAGTTTATCAAATTACTTTTTATAGTTTTTTTTTCTCGATTAATTCGGTCTATTTTGTTAACCCAATATTAAAGAATTCCCAATCAATCAACGATCATCTTTTCTTCTTTTTATTGCATCGTTTCGAATTTAACATTGTTGTAAACTTTCTCCTTATTTGCAACTTAATTATCATACGAGCTATTATAACTGAAAAAGAAATAAAGTAAACATTTTACCAGCAATCAGGTTTAATGCTCGCTTCTTGTGTGATGAGACGAGCCCCCTTAGGAGTAAGCACCTAAATCATTCATTCATAAAACCACTTGGAACCAGCTACAATATACTTACATACATAATATATTTATGTATGCAGATATGTATGCATGTATTCAGGAAATCTTCAAATATTGCTTACTGTAATGAAATGTTTGAGTTGTGTTTATTATTTCCGTAGACATAGGTACATGCAATTCCAATATATTTCCTTTAAATTTTTGTAGATAATATTATATAATTGATTTCAAAGACTCTTATACACATAATATAGCCTCGTATATAATATATTTCGTATACAAATGTACATTATAGTTGCAAATGCCCCTTAATGATATATATATCTTGTTGCTTCAAAAATGTCTCAGTTCACATCTCCGTAATCCTCGGGATAAGTCCATCGAAATTGTAATAGTATTACCAAATATGTTACTATTGCGGTAAAAATCTGAAAAATAATGAAAATACTATTTTATGGGACATTCTTGTAACTCTATTTATAACCTACAATTACAAGTTTGGTTTTAAATTCGAACATTTTTATTCTATCATATATGGTATGGTTTAAGAATTCCGCTAAAAAAATATTTATTTACCGAACCTTAATTTAATTATCCATATTTTTATTGTATCAAAATAATTCATAATAGAAATAATTAACACTACACTTACAAATTTTTTTAAGTTAAAAAAAAATAAAAGTATTTTACTTCGATTTATTTAAAAAAAAATTATTAAATTTGAACCGGATTGGTCCATTTAAACTGCCGTCGTAAACCGAATTGATAAAAAATTTTTTCCTAGATTTGAAACACCATTGTTTATATTTGATCTCCATAAGTAATTTTGTGTGTTTTCAATGAAATCACGGCTGCGGAATCGTTGAAAATCTTGCCCAAGTGTTTTGGAGCTTGTCTTATGCGAGTCGGCTATCCACCTCAGTTAATGACGATAACATCGAAAAAGGTAAAGAGGTACAAAATAGTGCTTGAAAATCGTCGTGTTATCGTTAGAAAGATAGCAGAGAATTTCATTACCTCATAGGAATCGGTTAAAAAGATCTGAATATTTTACAAAAACGACTTCGAATAATGGTCACAAAAAAGATGCTTGACAACGTAGCTGAGAATCCGAAACTCATCAAACGTATCTTTACTGGTAGCGATACATATTTTTCGAATATGACGTCGCAACTGTCCAACAATTTAGCGAATGGCGCTCGAAAAATCAAAAATTCGTTGAAGGCACTGAAACCTATCCCAGCCGAGGCTTATAACAAGTGTATGGAACATGGATTAACCTTTGGCATGCTTGTATTGGCTAATCAGCCTATTTTGATGGCGGTAATAAAAATGTGTACCATATTAAATGTAATTTGTTATTCCGGGTAAAATTGTTATCTTCTCGACCCTCTGAGAACATTTGGTACTACCGATAAAAAGGTGCTTTTGTCCAAGATAGGTTCACCCTATGCTACGGTCGACATTCGGAATACTTAATTTTTTATACTCTCGTAACCTGTTGCTACAGAGTATAATAGTTTTGTTACCTAACGGTTGTTTGTATCACCTAAAACTAATCGAGTTAGATATAGGGTTATATATATATAAATGATCAGGATGAAGAGACGAGTTTAAATCCGGGTGACTGTCTGTCCGTCCGTCCGTGCAGGCTCTAACTTGTGTAAAAATTGAGATATCTTTATAAAACTTGGTAGACATGTTTCTTGGTACCGTGAGACGGTTGATATTGCAGATGGACGTAATCGGACCACTGCCACGCCCACAAAACGCCATTATTGAAAAACAAATAAATTGCCATAACTAAGCTCCACAACAAGATACAAGACGCTTATTTGGTATACAGGATCACAATAGGAAGGGGCATCTGCAGTTAAAATTTTTTTTTAAAGTGGGCGTGGTCCCGCCCCTAATAGGTTTAATGTGCATATCTCCTAAACCGCTAATGCTATAATAACAAAATTCACTGGGAGCAAATTTTTTCAGAACTTCTACCTACAATTTGAAAATAGTTGAAATCGGGTTGCAACTCCGCCCACTCCCCATATAACGGTACTGTTAAAAACTACTAAAAGCGCGATATATCGGCACTAAACACGGCAGAGACATTAAATTTTATCTCTGAGATGGTATGAGATGACTTTATAGGAACCGCGTTCAAAATTAGACAGTGGGCGTGGTACCGCTCACTTTTAGGTGAAAACCCATATTTTGGGATCTGCTTAACCGATTTCAACCAAATTCGGTACATGACATTCTTTTCATATCTCTATGTTATAGTGTGAAAATAGGTGAAAATCGGATTACAACACGCCTACTTCCCATATAACACGATTTTAAATTCCATCTGATTCTTTCACTTTCCACTATGGAAATCAGGCAACAATGACTGTATCGGGATAAAACTTTGCGTGAATAATGCGATTCAAGTATGCCACCTTGTGACCAAAAATTGTCTAAATCGAACCAAAACTGTTCAATCCCCTAGGTACTGAATATGTGGACCACAGTGCCTATAGTTGACCTTCTACCGAAAATATCGGTCAATCCACAAACGAGTATACTATTTGACTTTGCGAGAGTATAAAATGTTCGGTTACATCCGAACTTAGCCTTTCCTTACTTGTTTAATTTAAGTTTTTTCCACAAAATTTTATACAAATTCTTTGATCCATTTTTTGGAATAAGTAAAAATAAAAGACGAACCAAAACGCGTCCAAGCAAAACAGCTGCCAAAAATTAACTAAACATTCAAAATGGCCGATCTTGTCAGCATAAATAAAGGATATGAGTACCAACATAATACAACAAAACAATGAAAAATGGAATACACGTAGCCGACCAAAATTCAAGCTTCGCGATAATTTTTGAACAAACCTCGTTTATTATAAATGGGATCGTTTGAACAATGAGTTTAATCTAAAATCTTTGAGATCGAATGAGAATATGCTCTAACAGAAAGATCATTTAATAAGCTAAGACAATCTCGGCTTATTATCTTAAATATAATTTTTACGAAACTGCAGCCTAGAGGCAGATACCTGAACTGAACTGATTAAACTTTTCTTCCGGTTTCTATTACTAAATTATATGTTTGATTTATGAAAACAACACTAAAAACTATTTTCGACTACATTTTATCCCCTTTAATATACCTAGTTTAATATATCAAGCTATGTTAATTTGGTATATAATTTCATACATCCATTAATCTCATACCTTCATAAGTAGCCGCAAATCCACAACCACAAACTCTTTAATCACTATCACCATTGGATCTTGCTTCATTTGCATAGCAAATTCGAATAGCAAATCATTGTAGGTTTTTGTATTTGTATATTTGTATCTGCTATTCAATAATCGCTGGACCAAAATTCCCATGGAAATGCCCTAAATTATATAAATTTTAATATTAGAAGTAAAAATAAATTGTAAGTGGAGTGTTTTTAATTGAGTTTAAACTCAAAAATATTTAAGCGTTTTACGTTAGTGGCTTTAAAAAACAATTCGTGCTTCCGTCAAACAGTCCGGTTTTTGACAGCACAGATCCGATTTGGCCGTAGGAAAGCAGCTTATAGGAGATAATTCCGCCATCCGACATCGACATTTTCACTTGACTTTGTCGTAAGTTTTCATCGCCACTAGCCATCGGCTTCAAAAATTAATCAAGTTTTTTGTACTCGATGATTTCCATCATATTATCTATTGACAATTCAAATTGGCTTTCCAAAGTGGGGTGCATCTTTGACATAAAAATTATTGAAACGAAATCGACGAAACCAAAATTTCTCGTAATAAACTGATACAGTACCAGGCCCATAGCCTCTATATACATTTTCAACCGCCCAGTTTGCCTTTTCGTCTTTATCGAAAAAAACTGAAAAAAAGGGCGTATTTTCTTTTCGCTGGTGTCCATCTTTGTCGCGTGATCAAACATTAATGAGTCAAGCAATCACAAAACTGTCTGAAAAGTTACTTTAGTACGAAATATTATCTTTATAACACCAAATACTCTGGTCGCACATATACAACGCACGACAAAGGTTCCTAAAGCCACCTATTGGCAAAATAATGGTTTACTTTTTAATAGACCTATTATGAGCGGGACGCAACCAATGTTGCATTTGATAGATTAGAACTCTTTGTATAAAGCTTAACTAAAAAATGCGTTCATATGCATATACAATCGGAATAATTTACTTCACTCACCTGCTGCTTGCAGTTCTCCCCAGCATGGCATACAAAGCTGATAACGGTTGCCAGTGGAAATGCCGTTGACATGGTTAAGTATAGGAAATAGAATTCGTAAACACCCGATAATGTTAGAAACGTCCAGTACGAATTGACGGTAATATCCAGAAAAATAACCGTTAATAAAGCACAAAGCGACCAACCGAATATATCATCGAACATAGCTGTTAATTTATTTATCTCACCATACACCAATTTCAGCTGCAACAAATAATCGAAGGATTCCAACATTTTATAATTGACATCTAAACACAAGCGCGGCTTGCGCATACGACAGTTGACTACCGAACGCAGCTTCATACTCAAATGGGCCATATAGAAATCGATATAGTCCATATAGATGATGGCCAACAGGCAGCGGGTACGCAACACCAGAATGCAACCAAACGCATACCAAAAGTAACCGTAGTAGTATTTGAACCAAATGACCACCATCGATATCGACAGGCTGCCATAGGCGACACATAAGTAGCACATATATTTGAAACGTTGGCGACGCCGCAAACTCCAACGACACAGACCGGTTTGCAGGCGTTGCTAAAAGAGCCACACAATACGCTGTGATTGCTGCATGAAGGCGAAATGTAGACGATAGGTGCACATCCCCTCCAACAGGCAGACGGTCAGCGCTATACATTGACTGAGAAAAACCATAACGCTGACAAAATTGGATACCAGCACTTCGTCATCCATTGGCTGTTCGAAGATACCATAGGCAGTTAGAATCCAATTCACCGCCAGGATGATGAATGTGTAGACGCGTTGCCAATGCTGGAGTTGACGTTTCCCGTTGTTGGCAAATGGCACAAGTCCAACAATGGCCAACCACTTCAATATCGGCTGCCACTCATGCAACATGTTGCCGGAAGCATGTAGACCAGCTAACACGTCCGCGATGAACATCTCATATGAACATGACTATCAAACGGTTCAAGGTTTCCTTTTACCTATTTGCATACATATCCTTATTGGTTGTTGTGTAGTTGTTTTTCCCATCGAGCGATACATTTACAATGAGTCAGACATTACGTTATCGCTCACGACGTTTTATCTGATAGGGTTCGCTCTTATTGATGTACAGCACTTAGCTTAATTCTTCAGGGTAATGGCGTGTAAAAATGTATACATATGGTTGTACGGGCACGTACCTATACCAGCGTAAATAATCATTTAGTCCTTTCATATTTGTCTGTCTGTGTAACAGAAATTCAATTTACTAAAAAATTACAAAATGCAGTTTTAAAAACTCATCAAATTAAGCGTAGGAAAGGACATCTTAGTAGTTATTTCGGTTAGAATATATTTGATAGGAATACGAAAAAGTACGAGGTCAACTACTTAAACGCTAATTCCTGAAGTGGTAATGTTTGAGTGAATTCAGCTCTGGTACACATTTTCGTGAGCTCTTACTCGGTCGGTGTCCAAATACTTGTATTAACTTGTAACAAAATCCAAATTCCTTGAGGCAAGTTTGGTTACCTGGAAAGCGCAATATTAAAAATTTAGTTGAGATGTGATCACCGTTCGTTCAAAATATCGTGTGAAGCGCATGTCGCGATCTCGAAAAATGTTCAACAGCTCAGGGTGGGCCAGTCGGTTGAGTAGATGATTGCTATCTAAATATACCAACTAAGATCCCGGAGCTTTTGCGTTACTATCGATGTGTGTGGCCTGGGATTTCTGATGGAACACTATTCCTCTCCTATTAGCCTAAATCGGTCGCTTTTGGCTCATAGTAGGTTGTTCCCTACCAATCCCACCAAACATGTGGCCAAACCTCTCTGACAGCCAATCCCACAACGCTTATACACTAGGGTCGAGCGAAAAAAAATAATTTTTTTTTTGCTTAGCCTGGAGGTAAAATATGTAGATTATAGCAAAAGAAATTTGGGGACAAAAAATAATTTTTATGTAACATCTAGAGGCAGTTTTAAATTCCATCTGAATCTTCCACTTTCCAGTATGCAAGTCATTCACTATTGAATATACCGGAATAAAACTCTGCGCGAATAGTGCGCTTAGTAGGCCTTCTTATGACCAAAAATTGTCAAAATCGTAGTATCCATAGTTGGCTTTTTACCGAAAATAACGGTCAATGTGCGAGATATATAACTAAACTTCAGAGAGAATCCTTTCCTGATAATAGTATGTCTAAATGTCAAAATTGAGTTGAATCTGGTCAATACTTCCCTCAGCACCCATATACCTAATATAAAGATTTTCGAACTTCCAGTTGACTATATACCGCATATATCGGCCAATATGTGTTTTAATAATGACACTAATTTCGGTCAGTCAGCGCGGGAGCGGGTTCAAAGCTCGATATCTCGTTAACAATAATGCTTTCGATCAAATCTTTTATTTCTTTTTATAAACACAGGTCAGTTCAATACCATGCATCCAAATAGTCTTTATAATTTCATTGTAGATGAGTACTTTGTAATCTAGTTTTAGCCCAGAGTTCTTATGTAAAAGCCAATTTAAGCTTTTAATTTCATTAGTAGTATTTTGGCATATATGGTATATGTCTTTTTCAGGTGAGCCTTCTATCTAAGTGTATACCAAGATTTATTATATCATTTAGTTGGGGAATATTTATATCATTTAATCTAATTGCAGGAGATGTTTGTGGGCGTAATGTAAATGTCACGTGTTTACACTTTTGCTCATTGACTTTACTTCTCCAGTTTGCCAACCAATTTGATGCTTTTCTATGACATTTATTACAGCATAATATGGCTGTGTCGTCCGCGAAAGTTTATACTGGGATATCTGCAGTGTATTTAATGTATAATATAGATCCATGAACGCTACCTTGAGGAGCACCAGCTTTTACTGGAAACTCCTCAGTGAGAAATTCCGATTGTTTCACTGTATACCACCTGTTATACAACTATATATGGAGTATATTGTACAATTGGATAGGCAAAGTTTTATAAATTTTGTGTAATAAGCCTTTATGCCTATACGTTCGACAAGGTTTGTACAGCAATACTTCTTGAACTCGAACGTCTTCCTTATTTCATTAGAAATTCGGATGACTTGTTCTACAGTACCATGTTTTTCACAAAAACCGAACTAGTGTTCTGGTATCACTTTGTTACGATGGAGAAAAGAAGATGTCTTTGATAGCAAAGCTCCTTCGAATAATTTAGAAAAACAGGGTAGTAGCTTATTGGTCTGTAAGAAAACGCCTGTGTGTGGTTTTTTCCTGGTTTGGCTATCGTCTTTTCCCACGCGTTTGGTAACTTAGTTTCTAACTGGCATTATAGATTTCACAGAAAGCAGTGCTAGTGCAATACTTGGTAGCTCTTTTAACATTTTTAGTATAATAAGGAGTAGCCTGGAGATTTCTTGGGATTCAATTGCTGAGTCGAATTTACAACTACGAAAGTAGATGTTTTCACCGTCTCTTGAATTTCAAGACCATTTTCGATTAATTCAGGCAACATAAAACCATTAGTTGCGTCATTTCGCTGGAACACCTTACTTAGATGTATTGAAAAACAATTTGCCTTTTCTTCGGTACTACGCGTAGAATTACCATTAAAGTTCTTATGCGCCTTCCAGCTTTTCTATGTATGTTTTAACATAATGGTCTTCTGCTTGTTTCAGTGCACCTTTCAGCTTTCGCTCTGCTAATTTAAACGTAACTTTGACGCAGGAGAGCGATGCGCTTGCCATTCTCTCCGCAAGCGACGCCTTTCTATTACTAACTCTTCTAATTCAAGATTTAGTCCTTTGCACTCCACTTCTTAAGTGTTTGTTACCGCCATGTAACGGGCACTTGTATTTTGCTATCCAAAACGAGTATTTAAATATTTTAAGTAATGATATCAACAAATAAGTAATTGGTATATGCCAAGAATTAATTTTAAAAACAAACTCAGCATAAACAATATAAAAAAATTCACAAACACCAAAACATCTAGAAATTATTACTGAAAACAAAAAAACTGGAAGAAATCAGCAGTATAAAATATTATTGTTATTAATATTTTTTTAGTTTAAAATACTTAAAATTTGGTAATCACCAAAATTTAAACAAATACAAATTGTACTTAATTAATATGAGACATCACTTCTGGTGAAATTCATCACAAACAAGTGAGAGTATTTTTAGATCAGCTATGCCCGAATAAATTGTTGGCATAGGTCACCCTAAAGAGATGAACTATTTAATTAAAAAATATATGAGCGCGGGCACGTATCTTCTCTGAATGAATTATAAGTCATGTTTTTCATTTTTGTTTTGAAAACAACAGACAAAAATCTGATACTGTTTACGGTTTAGAGGCATTAAACAACATTACCTCATCTTACTGTCAGCTGACAACTTCCTACCAACAAAGGATTGATTTTGAACAGCTCTTAAAGCTGACGCTCATAAGTACACATTGAGTATTACATTTATATTGAAGTGCGGATAACCTCAAGACCCTTCGATGGCACACAAACGGCACGACACGCTGGCGAAGCGCTCAAGTGTTTCAACTTCAGTCTAGTTCGAACCGGTTACGCGGCGTTTTCAACACACAACGAGTGCGACAAACATTTTTTTATTTTCTGATAAGAAATGGTGATTTTATTAGTCAAGCACGATTGCATCGCCTGTTTGCTTGCTATTTATTAAATTTATTAATGTCAATAATCCGGTATACTTAGTATATGATTGTATCAAACCCGGTTTTCGCTGGTACAAATATATTTTCTAACCGGTTTTCGTATTTTTTATAGACTACCGTCAATAGAACAAGAGTTCAATAGACCAAATTGACTATTTGATAAGGCTAGCTTTGTTTTGATTTTCTAGTATACACAAGTTCCCCTTTCGACGTTAGTCAAAACATCAGTTATTACACATATAGCTACACATGGAAATGAAATTAAATTGCAAAATCATTCAATAATTTGTATACATCCATACATATATATTTGGTGGAATCTAGGTACTATATGTACTTGTAGTACGTATATAGACCATATATACTTGTACATACATACAAAGGTGATTAATTAGGACTTGAAAAACTTGTGTTTTATAAAAAATATACATAAATTTGGTTTGATTTTAATATTTTTTTAGGAATTGAATGTAATCTCGGCGTTAACCGAAATTTCTTTGACCACCTCATCGTCATCACCAATAACTTCTAGGCTACATTCGATCAAGTCGAAATCGTTTTTCTGGGCTGCTTGTATTTGTGCGTCCAGGCTTTCGTTGGTATCATCGTTGAATTGCTTTATGAGAGGTGATTTGAGTAAATTCGCAAGACTACGCGATTTCTCTAGGTCATTAGAGGCGGGTTTGTTGTTAAGTTCTTCAGTTTTGGTTGTTGTTTCTGGTTGTCGGTGTGCAGGGGTGGCATCACAGAGTTTTGGGGCTGCTGTCTCTCGCTGTACTTCGCGTACTGTGTTCATATTACTAATTATTTCATCTATTTTAGAAACTCTTTGTGGTATAGCCTTATATTCAACTGAGACTTCTGGAAACTCGGTATTAACTGGTAATTTCTTGTGGTCTACTTGACTCTGTATATGATCCGCGAATTGATATAAATAATTGGTGATTTCATTTTCAAGATTTTCCAATTTTCTCATATTCTCTTTGGTCATTTCCTCCAAATCGTAGAGATCAACATTTTTAGAGTTATCTTCAACGATAGCATCGGTGTTTTCTTGCAAATTATCTATTTTAAACTTGATGGTCAGCTCTTTACCGGAAGCGGTGTCATCTTCTACCTCTCTCATATCGGTTTGCTCGTGTACATTTTGTACTACAAGCTCGTTTTGTATATCTTTCGTTTCCTTTTCTGTTTTCGTATCTGGTACGCTTTTTTTAGTAAACTTGAACTCTGCAATATGTTCTTCTTTCCCCTCCTTTAACTCATTTTTTTGTAGCGCTTCGGTAACGCTTTTCGCCATCTCTTCCTCGCCCATTGGCGCATCTTGAAACTCTTCTTCAGTCTCGACTACACCAAAATTTAACATTTTCTCATATGCCACAACTCCACGCGCTGTTTCTTGATCAATACCATATTCCTCGTAATTACTTCCATCAAATTTCAGCACATGTACTGCCACATCTCTAAGGCTTTCACGCTTCTCATTTAATTCTGGATTAGCTTTCATGTGCTCCACTTTGGCTTTTAAAGCTTCGTCGTTTATTTCTTGGTATATTGCTAAGGGCTTTGGCTCTAGCTCTGATTCAGATTCTAATTCTTCGCACTCATCTACCGCATTCAACACTTCCACATCTAGTTCATCTGTTGCTGGTAATACATCCTCGTAACTTGTATCTAATTCGTGAAATTCCTCTTCGTCACATTGCTGCCCAACCCCTATACCGCCACGACTAAGTTCAAGTGGATTCTTGAAAAGCCCACATTTTTGCTTTTCATATAGCTCTTTTACAGGCTCATTTGTTTGTTTGCTATATAAATCCATCAATTCAGGCTTAGGCTCAATGTCATGAAACCTATGCGCAATTTCATTCAAATCTGTTTCATCTAGCATATCTCTGAAGATACGGGGTATTGGAAATTCAGCATCCAATTGCTTTATATTCATAAAATTTCCGATGTTCTCTTTCTTACTATCACTAGTTTGACCCGAGTTGCCATTAAATTCCATAATTTTCATAGTCTGTTTCGAAAGTGTCGGCTTAACTTTGCTTCCGCGTGTTTCTTCCTCTAAACGTCGGGTTTCCTGCTTATCTCTTTCTTTCTCCTTTGTACGTTGCACCATCTTATGCAGTAGCTCGTTCTCTTCCTCTGTCAGTGGACTAGTAGTTTGCTTGCTATTATTTTGCTCCACACGTTCCACTATTCTCTGCAATATATTACTTTCATCCACTGTCAAATCGAAGTCTTCTTTATCATGCTTGATGATCTGCTTCAGCTCAGTATAACTGCGTGTGCACTCCACCAGAGTATCTTCATTCGGCTTTTCAACAGCCACCTTTTCAAAGTCCATTTTGTCTATAAATTCTTTATCGATATCATGGAAACCTGTGGGTTTCGATGGTTCCAATGAATAAAACTGTTCATTTTCCTCTTCTTCTGCTGCCTCACGTGCTGCCTCCTCCTTTTCCTTCAACACATTTGCTTTCTGTATTAACTGCATGGCAGGTATACGTTCGGTGGGTCGATAAGGTAATTTAAAACTACCAGCTCCGTTCTCCTCCCTACGCACCTTTGAGTCCCATAGACGCATTGACTCAGTACCACCCTCATTATCGGAATTGGCTGATTCATAGTAGTCTGAATCGTCACTATCACTATAATTAAATTTGCTTTCCGGCAAATCCTCTATCTCGCCAGTGTCCTTTTTCACCACAACCAGCTTACCGCCCACCACTTCCAATGTATCGTTGTACTTATCTTTTTGCGCATAAACACGATCAACTAATTTGCGCACACGCGCATTCTCGCGTTTCTTTTCAGTAGCAATTTGATGATTCAACAACTCACTGGTATCGCCATTGAAATCGCGCAAATTTGGTGATTTCAGAAGATTCTGTAAACTCGCAGCTTTTTGAGCTTCGGTGGTCGCGTATTTATTTTGAACGGCTTCTCTGTTTTCACATTCCTCGCGTTCTTTCTCAGCTTTATTCTTGCGTGCTATCTCCTGTAACAGTTCATTGAAAGAATCCAACACCTCACGTATGCTGCGCACTGGCGGCTCAGGCGACTTTTGGGGATCTGAGTAGCTGTATTCTTCGTCTGATTCAATTTCAATAAATTCATAGCTTTTCGGCTTTGTTGGCCGTTCTCGGGTTGTCTGCTTCAATAAAGCCAACTCATCAAGAAGGTCTTGAATTATTTCAGCGCATATTTTATTCGTGTCTTCGCTACTGTCACTGTCTCTATATTTTATCTCATTACGTATGTCCTTTTCTAACGCTTGTCGGTATGCGTTGTTAATTTTATACAATTGTTCATTTTCATCTTCAAGTTTTTGTAGTAATTGACGTAGTTCTCTTTCTTCGCGTTCGAAAGTTGAGATAGCTTTTCCTTGTTGTCTACCAAAGTTCGGTGTCATAACAGCAGCATCAATTCCAGCTTTCTGTTTGTTATCCGTTTCCGTAGAATCATTGTTAACTACTTGTGTTGGTGTATCTGCATGGTCACCTGGTACATCACTCTCCAATATTTCCACCTTAAGAACCGTACTACCCAACGTAATAACCTTATCGACACCGCTGGCTTCAGGTGGCACATCGGCACTACTGCTGCTGCCTTCTTCTGGGTCTCTTTCACCATCTGGTAATTCTGAAGGTGCTTCCACTTGCGCCACATGTTCGACCACCGAGGCAACATGGTTTTCTGGCGTGGTTTCTCTACACAGCAAAGTTGAATTGGATTTATTACTTTTTTTAACTTCATAATTCTGCACAGAAAAGCTAATGTTTTGCGTTTTTTCAATCGACTCTTTGTCTTTCTTCATTTCTACGAAAAAGTTATCCATATGAGTCGAAAGTTCTTCAAAGTCCTCTACTAATTTTTGGTTGACTTCCTCACACTCCTGCTCATACTTTAATTGTTCAGCGGTTTTGACTTGTAGGAACTCATGATCCTCTCTTATTAAGCATGTTCCTTCTACATTTTTCACACTGCTGTCATAATTTTGCTGCGGTTGCACATACTCTACCTCCATCTGTAAACGCTTTTCAGTTGCAATTTGTTCTTCTTCTATTTCCATCATTTCCAAGCACTCATCGACCTCTATTTGTAGTTTGATACGTTTTTTCGGAGACGGTGTTGAGAGATCATTCATTGTTATTTTAGAAATTGCATCCACGGTTGCATTATACTCATCTTTGCCAGCATCATCGGAATCGGAGATATTTTGCATTTCTGACATGCGCCTGTTGAGATTCCCGGTTTTTTGCATAACAGCTGGTAATATCTCATTGTCTAACAGACGTTCAATTACACCACATGTAATTTCGACAGAATTGATTTCATTAGCAATCTCAACTTTCTCTCTCAACGAATCTGTATTACAAATATTCAATACAGTTCCTATACTACCATCTGTTGTTATTTCTAAAACTTGAGATTTTGTAACGTGAGAGTCATTTATGATTTTCGATTCTTCTTTGTCTAGATTTGAACGCAACTCCAGTGACTTGGAGTCCGCTGAAATATTAGCATTTGAGTCTGTAGTACTTAGTACCGATGTTGATGAGCTAATATTGATGTCAGAGGAAGCTGTTTCCGATTTGCTATCTTCATTCACTACCTCTTCCCATATACCCAATTCCATATTTATGCCAGCATCGACTTCAGCCTGCCGATGTCGCTTCACTTCCATGGAATCTTCATCGGAATCGGATGAATTGAAAAGGGCATCTTGTTGGTCTGGTGGTTTATGTCGGTTTCGCATGCGAATTGTGGCTATAAAGTAGATTATAAGCAGTTCGAAAAAATACAGAAGATTAGCGCTAACAATAATATCATCAGAGATATGAAGTAAATAAAAATTAAATAAAATGTATGTTAAAATATATAATTTTTGGTACCCTTCACTATTAGTTCAACATCTAAAAATGAACCTGCAAGATGTTATATATCGAAGTCTTCTCTTCAATATATGTTTATTTAAAAATTAAACCAGTCTAAATGAACGGCTACCCTAAAGTATCGAATAATATTTCGATCATTTCGGATCTCTAAGCTGTTCAATTTAGATATTATTTGTTTGAAAAATTTAATTCTTTTTCGTAAAATTTTCTCAGATCACAGTGAAGTCTTCTACAAATATTTTTATTAAAAGTACTTTATTAGATAAAAAGATTGACCAAACCCTACTCTTTCGAAAAATTTACACCAAAGGTATCGTATAAGAGTATTAGAGTATTAAAACCTAAAATAATACCCTCTGATGAAATTTGACCTGGGCTGTCAACAAAATTTATATTTTCACGTATTTAAATACAAAAAATTATTTTCGCCTTGAAAGTAAGCTCCTGTGCCAATACAAGCATGCCAACGTTTAATGCAATTTACCATACTTTAGTTATAAGCCTCGGCTGGGAATGTCTTCAGTAAATTTTGGTTTTTTGGTTTCAGCTCATTTTTGGAGCGTCATTCGCTAAATTGTTAGACGGTTACGATGTTATATTCATAAACCCACATCTCGTCACCAGTAATAATGCGATTGATGAATGTAGGGTCCGCAACTACATTATCAAACGTCTCTTTTGCGACCTCTACTCGACGTAGTTTTTGCCCCCAGAACCAGCAGCGGGATGCCCGGGTGACACAGACGACCCACGCAGGAGAGGCATGAGCGGTGCCATCTGGAAATAGTACCTCAGCACTTGCAAGATTGTAAATCCCCGGAGGAAGCATGGAGGCTCTCCTCAAGCAGGAGCCGGGGCAGCAACCCATCTCCGGCAGCGAAGAAGCATGAAGAGGCAAACGCCGCTTCCGTCGCGGGACGCGGGAACCAGAGGTTCAGCTGAGTTAACGCAACCCCGAGGGAGCGGAAGGGCGGAGCCACTAAATGCATCAGGTCAAACCGCGAAAAAAAAGAGCGGGAAGATTACGCCTTAAGAACCCCCAAGTTCAAAGAGGCAAAAGGGGAATCAGCCACCGGCGTTCGGAGGACAACGTTCTGCTCCAAATCCCATCCCGGGTGTTGGCGGTCAGCGCAAATACTCGGAAGCCCTTAAAGGCATCCGTATGACGGTGCTGACTCGCAATTACCCGGCGGAGATCCTGGGACCGGAAGAACTGACAGCGCTGCAAGATAGTATCATGGATGAGGTATATAATGGGTGTGGGTTATTCCATGGTGGTGGGTTATTCCATGGTGTATACTTCAGGTCAAGAATGCTGCTAGTCGACTGCAAGGATGAAAAGACGGCCACCTGGCTTGCGGAGATCGCTCCGAAGCTGGACGGACGGAGAGGCTCGGTCCTATGCGTTTCTTCCCAGGAGCGCAGGGAAACCCTACGAGTTTGCTCTTGGTCTAGTACGAAACCAAAACGATGGGCGTACATCGGCTTGGAGGGTTGCTGACAGCAGTCTAGAGGACGCTGGATGGAGGATCAACATCACCATCGATGATGAGTCCTATAAATTCATCCGTAAGGAGGGGTTTAGGCTGAACTTTAAGTTCAGCAGTGTGGTAATGAGACCTTGGAGGCCTAAAACCACACCGGCGTAGAAACGGCGGAGGAAGCAATACTGGTGGATGAAGCGCCCACTCAGTCCGATACCGGCACATTCGAGCAGGTTGCTACTGCTGTGATGCAAGGTACTACAGCTGTCACAGGAGGAGCACTGAACGAAGGTGCTAAGGAGTGTGAAGGGGAGCTACCCTCCACACGGGAGCTCCTAGAGGGGCTGAAATGGTAGGACCAGTAGAAAAAGAACGAGGACAGCGATGACGAAGATCTGTCCCTCCTGGAACCAGTCCTGTGACCACCAATGCCCAAATAGAAGTTGCCCAGGTGAACCTACACCACGTGACGGCAGCCTCGGCTGTTATCGCGAGTAGGTTCCTCACAGATAACCTGGGTATCCTATTAATCCAGGAGTCGTGCATCTTTAGAGGGGAGGTCAGTGACCTCTATACAAGAACAAGCAAGGTAATCTGGGATATCTTATCTGAGAGACCCCAATACAGACTCAATCAAGTGCGCACTGGCTTGATTCTAGAAATATAAGTCACCAGGGGCTGACGGTATCTTCCCAGCACTGCTGCATCAAGGAGGGCAAGCTCTATTGCCGTACCTTGTTGGGCTAATGAGAGATAGCCTTGCGTTGTCGTACATCCCATCACCGTGGAGAATAGCAAAGGTAATCTTCATACCCAAGGTAGGAAGGAAGGACTATTCACCGACCAAATCTTTCAGTCCTATTAGTCTCACCTCCTTCATGCTAAAAGGTATGGAAAAGATTATAGACAACCCCATAAGATCGAAAGCGCTAAGAATCGCACTTATGCATGCAAATTAGCACGCGTACAGAGCAGGTAGGTCTACTAACACTGCTCTGGACCAACTTTCGGCTGAAATCCAGAACTCGCTGGAGAATAATGAGGTTTCGATATGTGCTTTCCTAGACATTGAAGTTGCGTTTAATAATGCGTCCAACGCAAGCGTGATCAGAGCTCTGGAGAAAAGGAAAGTGGAAGTTCCTAAAAAAAAGTTTAAAGTTACTCTCGGCAGTAAGGCGGACTGGAGTGAATCCACGCTCGACCAACTGCTGAGAGGTAGCACTATTCAGTGGTACGCGGACGGCTCGAAAACACCGGAAGGAATTGGAGCTGGCATCGCGGGACCGCATACCAAGCTTTCCATTCCCATGGGTTGTTTTCTGAGTATCTTTCAGGCAGAGAAAGGGGTAGCTGGTAACGAGTTGGCAGACGAACTCGCCCGCTCTGCTGCTGCTTCCAGAATGATGGGGCCAGAACCATGTATTGCGGTGGGGCCCCATACAATAAAGGAGCTGCTCCGCACGGAGGAGAGAGCGAGCAGAGATAGTCACTGGCAACAAGCAACAGGGATGCGTCATGCTAAACTGCTACTGGGAGGGTTCAATCTAGCCAGATACCATGACGATATTTAAGCACTGTGTCCTTAAACTTTTCGATTTTTCGTCATTAACAGGAACGGATGGACGACTCACATGAGGCAAGTTTCCAATGACTTTACGACCTTCACTAAATGCCTTGTGCCACTTAAACTCTTGAGTTCGTGAAAAAATACGTAGGCTCCCTAAAACACTTCTGCAATATTTTTAACGATTCCGTAGCCGTGATTCCATTAGAAAGAACTCGATGTTCAATTTTTTTTTTGTTTTGGTTTTATGGTAAAAATCGCGTAGTAAACGAACAGCTGGAAATCAAAACTCGCAAGAACATAACAAAAAAAGGTTGGAGCAATCTAGAAAAAAAATTGTCTTGTGTTTTGCTCTACTCCTTAGAAGTTTAAGCTTTCTATCTTTAAAGTCCTGAGTGCTAAACTCTATGATTTTTTAATCGAAAAGTTTAGATTTAAATGCAATATATAATCTGTATTCGAGCAAGCTTTGATCTTGCTTTAATAGTTAACAAATTCGAGGACTAAAGTTAGAAACCGAATTTTTAACAATGACACAATTTTTATTCGCAATAAAAATGTTTCCTACAAATATGAGGATCCCCGATGTACATCAAACAACTTAATCAAAATAATTTCGTATAATCAACTAAACATACCGTTAACGCTGTCACGTATCTTTTTACGTTCCATGCGGTTCCACCGTTCATTTTCTTTTCGTTCACCTCCGTAACCACCAATTTTCCTACAAAACAAAGGTTGAGAACAAAGTTATTGCTTTCAAAATATATTAAAGACAAAGTTATAACCTACCAAGCTTCCGCGCATGCGCGGTCTTTCGGAAACACTGGACGACTGTCGAGATAAGTCAGTTCTTTCTAAACAAAATACAAGTAGACAAATTTAATTGTCGTGAAATGAAGGGTGTACCATTCCATTGTGGTTACTTACACACTCCAATATTAGGGTCTTGCGGTACTGCGGTAATTTAGACACTACTGGATTACCTTGTAGCACCAGCACACGCAATTGCGGCATTTTTGCGAAAATCTATAGTTGTGTGAAAAATTATTTGAAATAATTTAATAAGAATTTGAAATATTGGTTACGATTTCATTTTCTACTCACCTTTACCACCAGAATATCATTGATACGATTATTCGATAAGTCCAACACTGACAGCGTCTTACAATTTTCCAAATCTTTAAGACCATCAAAGTCTTTCAAATAATTCGAGGACAAATTTAGAGTACTCAAAACTGGCAATACATCGAAGCCACAATTCTCGATTTTTCGTATATGATTCGAAGCCAAATTGAGCGTATCTAGCTCGGGGCAGTTTTCCAAATTCTCAATACGTTTTATCAAATTACTTTGTAAGAATAGGCACTTCAACTGTTTTTGATTGTCCAGTCCCTGTATTTCGGATATGGCATTGCATTCCAACCAAAGGCATTTGAGGCCGGTGTAATCGTCCAAGCACTCAATGCAATCGATGCCTGTGGAGCAAATAGTCTTATATATGCTTACCGTATGTTATCGCTAGTTTTAACGCTCACCTTGATAGTGCAGATAAAGCACATCATTAAGCGCCGGCGTCTGATAGAGTTTATCCTTTTTGCAGAGCTCTTTTAGGCGTTTCTTAGTAATGCGTGTCAAACCAGTAATCTCCCTTTGTTCGGTTCGGTTGTTATTGCTGTTGCATAATTGGTGCCCTCTGTCACCTCTATCACCGCCGACGTAATAGCGTTCCATAATGTTTCTTTTTTATAATATTTCTGGTTTGGTAACGATTTTCGGAACACTTACGTCGTTTTGATTATCTCGTTTTAAGAGTTTCTCTGATTATAATATTTTCGTTATTTCCCTTAAATGTTTTCTCTGTTTTATACTAAAATATTTTAAATATTTTTCGTTTTTGACACAATAAAAATTACACTTTGAATTTCTATTCAAATACGTCTACAATATTGAAGTGTGAGTAGGAATATTGATTACACAAAGTTGTTGTTGTTGGCAACAGATGCGCGACACTGAACCAAAGAGTTACTCACCATAATATTAATATAATATATATTGTAGTGGATGTAGTTTATTAATAATACGGTCTGCATTCAACCTCTCTCTGAAGTTTTTTTCTCCCATACATACATATGTATGTGCAAGTATGTATATACAATTGAACTGAGGATTTTCGGTATGGTTTGGTAAGGGACCTTTAGGATCTAATGAAAAAAGCCGAAACAGGCACACTTAATGTTAGGTTTAGATTTGTATAAATATTTCCTATTAGATGTATCTATTTCTTATTTCCCCAATTAAAGTGTCTTGTAATCATGAGATAAGTTCATTTCGAAGTGACATTTGTAAGATTCAATATGCCTATTATACTCATTTTGGTGAGATATGTATCCGCCTCCTGATAGGTTTAATGTACATATTTCACAAACCTCTAAACCTATATCAACTTGCTGAGGACAAATCCTTCCAGTAGCTTTTTCGACAGTGTGAAAATGGGTAAAAGCGGATTATAACCCCGCCCACTCCCCGTATAACAATTATGTTGAAAACTATTAAATGCACGATAACTTACTAAATAAACACCCCAGAAGTATTTAATTTCACATTTTAGATGGTACGAAAGATTTTCTATTAGTCTCACCTCCTTCATGCTAAAAGGTATGGAAAAGATTATAGACAACCCCATAAGATCGAAAGCGCTAAGAATCGCACTTATGCATGCAAATTAGCACGCGTACAGAGCAGGTAGGTCTACTAACACTGCTCTGGACCAACTTTCGGCTGAAATCCAGAACTCGCTGGAGAATAATGAGGTTTCGATATGTGCTTTCCTAGACATTGAAGTTGCGTTTAATAATGCGTCCAACGCAAGCGTGATCAGAGCTCTGGAGAAAAGGAAAGTGGAAGTTCCTAAAAAAAAGTTTAAAGTTACTCTCGGCAGTAAGGCGGACTGGAGTGAATCCACGCTCGACCAACTGCTGAGAGGTAGCACTATTCAGTGGTACGCGGACGGCTCGAAAACACCGGAAGGAATTGGAGCTGGCATCGCGGGACCGCATACCAAGCTTTCCATTCCCATGGGTTGTTTTCTGAGTATCTTTCAGGCAGAGAAAGGGGTAGCTGGTAACGAGTTGGCAGACGAACTCGCCCGCTCTGCTGCTGCTTCCAGAATGATGGGGCCAGAACCATGTATTGCGGTGGGGCCCCATACAATAAAGGAGCTGCTCCGCACGGAGGAGAGAGCGAGCAGAGATAGTCACTGGCAACAAGCAACAGGGATGCGTCATGCTAAACTGCTACTGGGAGGGTTCAATCTAGCCAGATACCATGACGATATTTAAGCACTGTGTCCTTAAACTTTTCGATTTTTCGTCATTAACAGGAACGGATGGACGACTCACATGAGGCAAGTTTCCAATGACTTTACGACCTTCACTAAATGCCTTGTGCCACTTAAACTCTTGAGTTCGTGAAAAAATACGTAGGCTCCCTAAAACACTTCTGCAATATTTTTAACGATTCCGTAGCCGTGATTCCATTAGAAAGAACTCGATGTTCAATTTTTTTTTTGTTTTGGTTTTATGGTAAAAATCGCGTAGTAAACGAACAGCTGGAAATCAAAACTCGCAAGAACATAACAAAAAAAGGTTGGAGCAATCTAGAAAAAAAATTGTCTTGTGTTTTGCTCTACTCCTTAGAAGTTTAAGCTTTCTATCTTTAAAGTCCTGAGTGCTAAACTCTATGATTTTTTAATCGAAAAGTTTAGATTTAAATGCAATATATAATCTGTATTCGAGCAAGCTTTGATCTTGCTTTAATAGTTAACAAATTCGAGGACTAAAGTTAGAAACCGAATTTTTAACAATGACACAATTTTTATTCGCAATAAAAATGTTTCCTACAAATATGAGGATCCCCGATGTACATCAAACAACTTAATCAAAATAATTTCGTATAATCAACTAAACATACCGTTAACGCTGTCACGTATCTTTTTACGTTCCATGCGGTTCCACCGTTCATTTTCTTTTCGTTCACCTCCGTAACCACCAATTTTCCTACAAAACAAAGGTTGAGAACAAAGTTATTGCTTTCAAAATATATTAAAGACAAAGTTATAACCTACCAAGCTTCCGCGCATGCGCGGTCTTTCGGAAACACTGGACGACTGTCGAGATAAGTCAGTTCTTTCTAAACAAAATACAAGTAGACAAATTTAATTGTCGTGAAATGAAGGGTGTACCATTCCATTGTGGTTACTTACACACTCCAATATTAGGGTCTTGCGGTACTGCGGTAATTTAGACACTACTGGATTACCTTGTAGCACCAGCACACGCAATTGCGGCATTTTTGCGAAAATCTATAGTTGTGTGAAAAATTATTTGAAATAATTTAATAAGAATTTGAAATATTGGTTACGATTTCATTTTCTACTCACCTTTACCACCAGAATATCATTGATACGATTATTCGATAAGTCCAACACTGACAGCGTCTTACAATTTTCCAAATCTTTAAGACCATCAAAGTCTTTCAAATAATTCGAGGACAAATTTAGAGTACTCAAAACTGGCAATACATCGAAGCCACAATTCTCGATTTTTCGTATATGATTCGAAGCCAAATTGAGCGTATCTAGCTCGGGGCAGTTTTCCAAATTCTCAATACGTTTTATCAAATTACTTTGTAAGAATAGGCACTTCAACTGTTTTTGATTGTCCAGTCCCTGTATTTCGGATATGGCATTGCATTCCAACCAAAGGCATTTGAGGCCGGTGTAATCGTCCAAGCACTCAATGCAATCGATGCCTGTGGAGCAAATAGTCTTATATATGCTTACCGTATGTTATCGCTAGTTTTAACGCTCACCTTGATAGTGCAGATAAAGCACATCATTAAGCGCCGGCGTCTGATAGAGTTTATCCTTTTTGCAGAGCTCTTTTAGGCGTTTCTTAGTAATGCGTGTCAAACCAGTAATCTCCCTTTGTTCGGTTCGGTTGTTATTGCTGTTGCATAATTGGTGCCCTCTGTCACCTCTATCACCGCCGACGTAATAGCGTTCCATAATGTTTCTTTTTTATAATATTTCTGGTTTGGTAACGATTTTCGGAACACTTACGTCGTTTTGATTATCTCGTTTTAAGAGTTTCTCTGATTATAATATTTTCGTTATTTCCCTTAAATGTTTTCTCTGTTTTATACTAAAATATTTTAAATATTTTTCGTTTTTGACACAATAAAAATTACACTTTGAATTTCTATTCAAATACGTCTACAATATTGAAGTGTGAGTAGGAATATTGATTACACAAAGTTGTTGTTGTTGGCAACAGATGCGCGACACTGAACCAAAGAGTTACTCACCATAATATTAATATAATATATATTGTAGTGGATGTAGTTTATTAATAATACGGTCTGCATTCAACCTCTCTCTGAAGTTTTTTTCTCCCATACATACATATGTATGTGCAAGTATGTATATACAATTGAACTGAGGATTTTCGGTATGGTTTGGTAAGGGACCTTTAGGATCTAATGAAAAAAGCCGAAACAGGCACACTTAATGTTAGGTTTAGATTTGTATAAATATTTCCTATTAGATGTATCTATTTCTTATTTCCCCAATTAAAGTGTCTTGTAATCATGAGATAAGTTCATTTCGAAGTGACATTTGTAAGATTCAATATGCCTATTATACTCATTTTGGTGAGATATGTATCCGCCTCCTGATAGGTTTAATGTACATATTTCACAAACCTCTAAACCTATATCAACTTGCTGAGGACAAATCCTTCCAGTAGCTTTTTCGACAGTGTGAAAATGGGTAAAAGCGGATTATAACCCCGCCCACTCCCCGTATAACAATTATGTTGAAAACTATTAAATGCACGATAACTTACTAAATAAACACCCCAGAAGTATTTAATTTCACATTTTAGATGGTACGAAAGATTTTCTTCGGAGCCGATATAAAAATTGAACAATGGGAGTGGTGTGAGGAGTATTATGACATCTTTAGCTTACCGAATAAAATTGGGCGAAATCGCAATACACACACGCTTGTATCTCATATAACAAATGTTTAAATACCATCAAATCAAATCAAACGCCAATAAAGTTGTCGGAATAAAACTTTGCACAAATGATACCCTAAAGGTATGGCGACTCATGTCTAAAATAGGTCGAAATCGGATCATGACTTATCAAGCCCCCAGGTACCGAATATGTCACCCTGAGTGCCAATCTGCGACATATATCAATGAAACGTCTTTTTTTGGGAATAATGTATCCTGGTGATAAAAAAAGGGTAAAATCGGGTCAATGCTTCTCATAGACCCCATATACCAAATATAAGGATTTTCAAGTTTCAGGTTGACCTTATAACATATATCATAAATGATATAATTTAATATGTGAGTTATCTTAATGAAACTCAGAGAGCATTTTTATCTGGTAATAATAATAAATGGACAAAATCGGGTCAATACTACTCGCAGTCCAAATATATCAGATAAAAGTATTTCAAAACTCTTTATATTTTTATTTCGGCCGATGTATAAGATGTCTTAGCAAAATAAGTGAATATATAATATAATTCTGGATATACTATAGTTTGATGTTGAAAATGTATGAAATCAGTCCGCGAATTACCTCAACTGCTATATACTATATATAATCATTAAAACCGTTATCCTAGCAAATTGTATACCAATATATTTCATGGAAATATGTCCTATTGCAATCAGTTCAGACCTTCCACGAAGTATATATACTTGTCTGTCCGTCTGTATGTACCCGAACTTGTACCTCGGTTTTTGAGATATCGTTCTGAAATTGTGCAAACGTCCTTTTCTCCCCAAGCGTCGGAATCACCGATATTGTACTGTATAGCTGCCATACCAACCGACCGATTCAAATCAATTGTGTGGAAAACTGTTTTATTTGACAAAATATCTTCACGAAATTTCCAGGGCAAAACTACAATCTCTGATCATATTGTTCTTGTCGGAGCACCATATTGAAATGTACCTATAAAGGGTATTACTCTGTAAACCAGCCGGTTAATTACCCAACACCGCGGCCAGTAATTTCAAGTTACCTGAAACTCTTATGTACGTACGATTGTTCATCCCTTTCTTATGCAAAGTCGCAACTTATTTCAAAGTGTTTGGATATCGGTAGCTGTGACTTGATGGATATATAAATAGATAACATCCGAAGTTAAACTAATCCATTTGGCAGCCAATTTCCCAGTTTATCAACTAAAGATACAGACCAGGGCTGAAGCCTTTGAAAGTAGTAAAGATTGAAAAAAATATATAATAATAGAATGAAACCCATTGGAAAAGTTGTACTTTTTCACATAACCTCAAAATTTATGAAAAAATTTTAACAGAAAACTAGAAATATGTAAGCCCAAACCTTCTAAGACATTAACAAGGATAATATATAAGTTGAAAAACGTGATTTCCTTATATATTTTTGTATACGTTATTCTTTGCAAAATATTGATACTAATGTTATAACTAAAATATTACAATATATTTATACAGATACGTTTTTATGTATTTTATGTTTAAAAAATCGTCAAAAATTTACCACAATCATTCAAAAAAAATTACTTATGAAAATATATTAAAATATTTTTGTACGAATACTTTTTCACGTACCTCATTTTTAATAACTCGTTGATGTCCATATGCAACCCATTAGTTTAATGCAACACTGCAAGCGGACAGCTGTTTTCAAACAATGACAGCTGTCAGCTAGTAACAAAGCCAGCAAACAATACGAAAGCATAAAATAAAAACAACATTTTATTAATACTACATAGAAGTAAAAATACTAAACTAGCTAAACGTACTGATTAATATTATTATTATACATTGGCAACAATAATATGAATATAAGCAATTAAGAAATGTGCAGACAATTGTGTGTATACAAACGAAAAAAAGTGCGAAAATATATAAGTAATATGAATAAGACAATAGAAATGTAATGTTTTTGTGGTCATTGCCAATGTTTTCCTGTTGTTGTATACGTAATTCTTCCATGGTCATTGATATAGTCATCTACGTTTTATCTTTCCTATAAAATATATGTGATGTGTACGTTGTTTTAATGATAAACGCGGAGGTGCGGTTGCGGTAGGTGAAGTATAATAACAATTCGAATATAGGTAAATACCATATTAATATACATACATATTTACATATATAATTCTGCTTAATAAAAACGTGCCATTTTCCTAAAATTCAAGGCGAACAAAGAACAGCGACGAAAGTGGTATTCGCAATTAATGCTATTGATATTTGCTGTTGAGTAATTTGGAAACTTGTTGCTGTGAAAACTATCAATTTCGCCTCATTAAAAAAGAACTCACGCTTTAAGGCTTTTACGCATTACTTATGCTTCAAATAAGGAATGATGGATCCACAAAAAATAACTGAACTGGCAAATTTACTACGCAAAAATGGGGATAAAATATTGAATTCGGAGTTTTCGTTAAAACTATCAGGTATGCAATTTACCTATTTTAAATGTATTAAACAAAAATAAAATGTAATGTTGATTTCTTTGTTGCAAGCATGATTCATTTTACTTAGTAAATATCATCTTTTAACAAATGGTAATTTTTCAATGTTTTGATTTTTAATTTATTTTCTCAATTGTTTCGTCTGTTGATTGTTTTGATTTATTTTTAGCGCTGCAATTTGACAGTTTATTTTTAGATTAGCATATGTTTTAACCTTCTTAATTTTGTATATTTTTACCAACAAATACAGCATATAGTTACAAAGTTAAAATATAAATCGGTGTTTTGCAAAATGTTATTGTGATATATACCATAAAAACAAACATTGCGATATAATTAAAGTGACTTTTAGATATATTTTCCTATTTACATATATAAAATACTAGCAATAGTAGATTTTGCTTATCCGCAAACTTTCAACAAAAATTAACAATTTAATACCTATAAACTATATATTTTTGGTTTTGCCCTAGTGATTACACTCTTTCTTTAGTAATATTTTACGACATTTACGGTAACTGAAAATAACATTCATTTAATTGTGGTACTATGTCGCAATTTGCCATCAGAAAATTTTATTACAAATAATTGCATATATACAAGTATGTAAGTGCTGATTAGGATTGTTGTTATTTTGCTTTTTTTATTGTCTCCTGCGCCATTATACTAGTGCTTAAAATAGGGCAAGCTCAAAAAGAGCACATCAACTTAGGCGTTATCAGTTACAATTGCTTCTGTAACCGATCATGCAACGCCTTAATGATTTTCTAATAATATACAATTAATTACACATGTGTGCAATATTTACAGGTTCACTGCTACGCGCGCTAAATGACTCATTTACGCTTATCACAGATGGCGCTGCCGAAATCGGTGCTTCGCCGCAGACGTTCCAAGTCGCCAAGACGGTCAATTCAAGATCGCCTGTTTTCATCGATTTACAGCTTATTTATGATTTTGTACAAAAAACACCGTTACTCTGTATCATACACTATCCCACAGACGAATACTTCGATGGCACAATTGATATCAGCAAATTTCGTGCCTTGCGCCGACTCGAAGTGCAGAAGACAAATGTCCGGCAAGTGGTCGGTATACAACGATTACGTGCGCAGCTGCAACAGCTTATTTGTGTGAAGAGCCTGACGGATGTGGAAGACGTTATAACCCGATGCGGTGGCGACAACTCAAATGGCTTTGTGTGGAATGAGTTGAAAATCGCCGATTTTAGTTACAATAATCTGCAACGCATTGATAGCGCTTTAGAATTCGCACAATTCTTGCAACATCTTAATTTGCGTCATAATAAATTGCGTAGCGTAGAGGCCATCAAGTGGTTGCCGCATTTAAAAACTTTGGATCTAAGCTACAATTGTTTGCAATGTGTACCGCAATTTCATTTAGATGCATACAAGCGGCTGCAATCCTTAAATATGAGCAATAACTTTGTTGAGGATCTGATGGGTATCGCGAAATTGGAAGCACTCACTGATTTAGATCTATCTGACAACTGCTTGCTTGATCACTCGTGTTTATTGCCCCTCAGCGCGCTTATCACGCTAAACTATTTGAATTTATACGGCAATCCATTGTGTTGTCATCCCAAGCATAGACTAGCCACTGCACAATTTCTACACAAAAATACCGCCACTGTGAAGTTCTTACTTGACTTGGAACCGCTTTCAAAGAGTGAAAAATCTGTAACTGGCAGCCAACAACTGCGACATGTAGGTGCGCTCAATCGCTATGCGCAAAGATCCTCTTCTACCTCCATTAACAGCAGCCGTGTACCATCCACAACACACACGCCTTCATCTAGTGTGGGATCTTTGAGTTCCTTCAAATTCAATGTTAGTTCTACGGGCACACTAGATAGTGTTAAAACAACTAATGGTACAAACGGCACGCGAAAGTCATCTTCGAAAACACGTACAGTCGATATCATTGAAGATGAAGGTGCTATTGCGCAGACAACTGACGAACGCGATGAAGCAGTGTTAGCCCAAAAATTAAAACCAGTTAAAGTAACACTGCATAAAGTAGACATATCAGAACAAGACAGCCAACACTTAGAGGCGAAAAAGCAAATTGAAAACCTACGCGAGAAATATGGTGTCAATTGGTTACAATCCGGCAATGCGGAAATGATACAAAGCGCCTTAGGTATTTCAGTAACTAGGCAAATTATGACCAACTTACCATTGATAAAATTTTACATTGCAGGCATGGAAACTAAAAGTAATACAACAGCAACAACAAATACTTCCAGACAACAGCTCGATGATTTTCTGGGGGAACTTTCTGAGTCGGCGCTTGCGTCAACACGTACCAAGCCACAATCACAATATGATACCAGTGAAACGCTCGACAGCTCACTGCGTTCATCAACACCGCTTTATGATAGCCATTTAAGTGACGAAGTGCCAAAATTAGAAGTGCTTGCATCGCCAATTAAAGCAAATGGCCCTAATGACAATAATGATGCAACTATGTATCAAAGTATGAACAGTACCATCTCGTATACAAACGAAAATCATACACTTTATAGGTCGGTAAACGATTCCGATAACACATTAATGCAAACGGCAGCAGACTCTTTAAGCTTCGCTTTGGAGCAAGCAAATATGAGCGATGATGCTGAGACTGAGGTGGAGATCGATGATGAACCGGCACATTTGAAAAACGTGTATTCAAATGCAACCGTTGTAGAGCCGGATGGTATGAGTAATGCAATAGTTTGAAAATTTATTATACCCAGAACATGTCCGTCTTTATATACGATAGCTAATCCCTGCCCTTATATCTACCATACAAACTAGCCAATAGAAATCGAGTTCTTGTACTCAAAACCTTTTTTTTTTGGCAATATATCTTCACGAAATTTGGCATAGATCATTATCCAAGACATGTTGTTGTTATTGTTGTTGTAGCGGCAGAATTTTGTCGAGTTGACAGTCCTTGGCCGGAAAAAATCCGGGTCCGTTCCGGTTACGTAGACCCGACTGTTATGGAAACGGATTATCTAAGACATCACTACAACCTCTGAACATAATGTTCAAATTAGACGACTATAGCATATAGTTGCCATACAAACTGACAGATCCAAAGCAAGTTTTTGTATCAAAACCATTTTATTTGACTAGATATCTTCACAAAATATTGCATAGATTATTGCACAAGCCAACGCTACACTCTCCGAACAAATTGTTCAGATCGAACCACATATAGTTGCCTGACAAACTGTCCAATAAAAATCAAGATAAAGATCCTTTTGTACTCTTTTATGCTAAGAAATGCACCTGTAAAGGGTATTATAGCCTCATGGCCAAAGTTAACGTTTTTTTCTTGTTTAAATTTTTCTTATTATTTATTATATATAATACATAAAATAATTTAAGAGTTTGTGATATCTTAACAAGTTTCCCTTCCAAAATAAAAATATTTTAAATGTTTACATTATAATTTTTTAAAGAAATAATTTTCTTTATTTAAAAAAAAACTGTGTTTCCTTTTTTCCAGTCTCTGAGCCTGAGGACGATGAAATAACATATATAGTTTACACTATGCCACGCAATGAGGCCGTATTCCTAACCATATCAGAGAGTTATTTGCGCGTACGTGATACATTAACACAAAAGTAACTTATTACAATATTTTTATTAATATTCATGTATATTAAAAATATTTTATTCGTATTTAAGAACCATAACCAAGTGGAGCTTAAAAATTTTAGAATCCTGTGATCGCATAAAATCAAATACGATACGTATAAATTTTGATACAATCAAAGCAGATAAAAAGGAACGTATCTACACCGTTGAAGATGGCCTATGTCAGGTAAGAACGTATTTTGTATTATTGTAACTAATGTTATTGTAACTAACGAAACTGCTTGCGATTGAGTCTTTCATTTTACAATTACCTTTCCCACGACAGTCGGGTCTATGTAACCGGAACGGACCCGGATTTT